ACTTTAGAAATATAAACATGTGTTTGTATCTAAGGTTGGGCACATATAGTTGTCAAATACTGGGTTGTATAGACTACAGTGTTAGGAAGAGGATATTTTTATTTCAGGTCGGGCTAATATATACCACCCTGTAACTGCAAAGGTAAAATAACCGCTGAACTTGAAGACATGGCGTGCATACACTGACATTGTTCCGAGCGTTTTGCTAGCAGCCGTGCATCTCCGTAGATAAATTGGTTGAAAAGCATTCGATACTACAGAAGATTGTTCATATCGAAAGCAATATTTTTGAGTAAGGCTATATCTCCTAAGACCAAAGAAAGGAACGATGAATCTTTGCAATAAGAATTTTCCAGTAAGCCTACATCTTTCCATATTTAAGATTTTACTAAACAAGAGTTCCTTGTTAAGATTAACATAGGACCAATTCAATGAACATAGGGTGAGGTGAAGTTCCAACATCTACAGATCTTTGAAAAAAAAAAGCTACAGCATCTAACATAAACTGGTATGGCAAGAATATTTATGTAGTGTTGCACAGTGGTTTGAGAATGGAAGAAAGCAGGTGCAATATTACATACATCCATTTAAACACTAACAATCCTTACCATTCCTGAATGCCCTGTTGAGCTTTCAATAAGGTTCTGGATCTATTCAGTGGAGCATATTGTACAGATTAGTAAGAGATGTTACGAAATTAGTCTGGTAGTTTGAAAAATCAAAGACCAAACACAGGATCTAAAACCATGTTAATGGCAGCTAACGCACCTGATCAGAATTGAAATAGCCTGCAATAGATGCTGCATGTAAATCAGTACATTAGATATGCCGAGAAAGAATAGTATATGTAGAGAAATCGCAGAAGCACCTGGCGGTGGTGGTAGACCGGCTCGAGCCTCTCGTAGCTAGAGATCTCGATTAGGCAGGGTGTTCCCTGATTTCGTCTGCCACCGGCCGCACGGTGGTGAGGCAGGAGCATGTGTCTGATGCGGCCGCCCCCGAGCTGCTGTCGCTGGACTTCGATGTTGCTGCTGGTATGAGGAAGTGCAATCCACTGTAGGGGCTGCGATCCATCACCGATAGCTACGTACTGTGGCACTTGCCAGAGGCCGCAGCACTGCCGTGCCACTCGCAAGCACACCGCCAGGTCGCACGCGGCCACATCGCACACAACACAGAAGAGAAAGATGGGAATTAGGGACTCGAATAAACAAAAGGCATAGGGAAGCAGGGGATGGTGGGCATCGTTGATGAACATACGAACATACCTCTTCGCTAGGGCCCAAGGAACCGTCCCCGTGGTAGATGATGGGGTAGCCACCGATTGGTCCGCCGGGGCGGAAGGAGGCGACGAACCAGAGGACAAAGAAAAGAGAGAGGGCAGGCAGCAACGGGCAGGAGGCGAGGCGGGCGGGTGGAGCGGAGACGACGATGCATGCGGGAGCCAGGGCGACGCCGAGACGGAGCGGCCGAGGATTGGGGGCAGATGGCGTGGCCTGGTGACAGGCGACATATTTTTAATTGGCAGACTCGTGAGTCCTTTTCCAGCACGTGACCGGTTAAGACCGTAGATAAGCATAGTTTTGACTGGCACTGACCAGTCAAAAAAAAAACGCGACGTGAAAGGCAGCCATAGGCCACTGACACGCGGATGGGCTGGCCGTGCTCCAATTTATTCACCGTTGAAGCTCTACTAATGCGTCGCTGGCGTATTTGCTTGACCTGTATAGTATCATTACTCATTAGGCATGTTGGTTGTGTCCTTCCTTCATCTGGGGTTAATGGGGAAAAAATAGATGCGCATCTGCTTTAGTTGGTGTGATGGAAACTTTGTTTTTGCAAGATACGGAAGAGGACGACCGGAAATTTTACGTAAGGAAGAGGTAGGTCCATAGCTGTACATACGCTTTGATACATAAGAGGCATTTTAAACTGCTAAGTTAGTGATAATGCGGACGCAGTTTGATAGTTGTTGGACCTGATTTAGATAGCATCTTAGCAGCGGCTGTAGCATAGTTTGTACTGGAGTGATATAAGGGAAAGCCTAGTCTAAGACCATGTTTGGATAAAATACATCAAATGTTTGGAAAGAATATTAAATATAGATTAATTACGAAATAGCCGTAATTTGCGAGACTTAATCTTTTAAACCTAATTAAAATGTTGATGCTTAAAAATCTCGAAAATTAGCCTCCATCTAGAACACTCCTTATTAGACTAAGTCGTGTGTAAAGGAGGGACTAAAGCAAACATAATTATAGCCGTCAAAATGTTGATGCATCACAAGAACATTAGACAGTCGTGGTAAAAGGTAGCCATCGCTTTCGTCCCCTGCGTCTATTCCGCTGCTGACCTGTTTGACACAGGGGAGGAGGGTGTGTGTATTATTACAGGATGCAGATCACATGCACAGTTCAGCAGACATACCGAGGAACCGATCTTGTATCATACCTTGATTGCTTCAGCTCAGAAAGGTCTAGCCGGCACTTTGCATGTGGCGTCTGGCCCGGTCGTGCACTATTTCATAATGCAGGTGGTTAAGCCATTAATCATTACGAATCTTACAGGCAAACAGGGAATGACAAAGCGTTTTCGGTCTTACTCTGCATCGTTGGCAGTGTTACCATGTCCTGGTTCAGTTGTAGGGCTTTTTTGACCAAGAGTTTTCTTAAGTGCTTGCTAAATTTGAAGGGATGAATTTTAGTCAAGCGAGTTTCAGTATGGAAAGATGACACACTTCGTCGTGGCCATATATTGAACACTGAACAAATATGTTCGATCAACTGTTATGACATCCTAACCATATGTATTGTAGAAAACCTAAAGACTCCTCTGCTAAAGTAAATTCGAATGATGGTCTGGATCAATCATGGATGAACTTGTAATTTTATTGTTCATTAGTAACATGGCATTGCTCCCTTCGGTGTCAAACTACAGCAAAGCATACATGATATGATGTCGTTTATTACGACAAACTATAGATGAAGATCAGGGACAACGCCTAAATAAAAGGGGGAAATAAAATACCTGGGACATCCTTTAACGTTTTGGTCTCCTCGCATTGTACCAGCCAAGGTAAGGCATCCTTTTTCTCAGACCCCGCACAGAGCGGAAGCTCTCTACGCTAGGTACCTGTTAATTCATTTGCCCTATGTTGAAATAATCTTGTATATCCTTACTTTTTTACTACAATAAACCACCACACTTAGAAGAAACCAATAACAAAGTAACTAAATTTTTTAGGGAGATGAGAGCAGAAAGATTCGCAGCTACAAATCCATTAGCAAGCAATCTGTAGCAGATCGAAGCTGTTCTATTGCACAGGCTAAAATCAATTAAAAAAAAAGCAAAGAATGGTCATACCTGTATTTTTGCCCAGCTTCTGAACGGCTGCAAGCCGGCCACCCATCACCGGAGTCCCGGACGGCTTGCATCTTCGGCGGTGCAGTCGGCACCTCTGCTGGCGCCCCATCGGCGGAGCCCTACGCCGTCCTTAGTGCAGATTGACGGAGGCAGCGGCCAGGTCGTGGGCTGGCATGACTGCAACAGCAAGGACTGGGAGCGGAAAAGATTGGGACCTCAGGTAGCGGCGGCCACCACGAGCGAGGCAACGGAGAAGAGAGAGAAGCGCAGAGGCTTGTGAGAGGTGGCCGCGCTCGTCGATGAGCGGCAATGGCCGGTCCCTGCACCTGACGCCGCGTCGGCCCGGACACCCACCGAGGTGAGTCGTTGAGTGAGGCCGGCAGCAAATCTGGGGGGAGGAGGAGGACGTGATAGCCATTGAGGAGGGAGACCGGCGGCGGTGTCTGTTGAAGAGGAGGTCGACGAACCTGCTGAGCGGAGCGGGCGAGGTCCGGACCGGATGCACACGAACCAAGGCCCCTCCCGAGCGGAGGGGGCGAGGCGAGCCGAAGATGCAGATGCGCCATGCGCCCTACGACTGGGAGGACCTGGAAAGGAGCGCACCCCATCGCGGGTCCCGGCCCCGGACGACGTCGGTGATGCGCGGGCAGGACGGTTGACTGGTAAATGGTTGTCTCAGCCAACAAAGCCGATGGACCCGCACGGCAGTGACAAAGCCGCGCACACGAACATGCAACCGAGAGAACCAGTTGCAAATCAGTAGATTAACCGGCGTGGGTCAGTAAAAAATGGCCAGGCGTCGAAACCGCATTTGCCAAATCCACGCGGATGCCCCCGTCGCCCCTTCAGCGTTGAAGATCTACTATATAGTAGTAGTTAATGTAGAGATAAGTTAGGTATAGATTACAATATTGTTGAGGGCAAGAAATAAATATTTCCCAAATAGTTGATGAAGTATCTGGTATACCAATGAATTGTTGCCTGAGCATTTGTATTTTTTGGATGTTTATTTAGAATCATCATAGCGTGTGTATTCAAATTTATTTTGGGTAATACCAATTGATCCTTCTTTTTTTATATAAGGATACCTACCAATTGAAGGCATCACTCCCCAGCTCAGCTCTTTTTCTTCTCCCACTGGCATCAGTTGCAAAGTTGAGTGGCGCATGGAAACATGCCTCTGCTTCAGCTTGAACAGGTGGTTCAGGCAGAAACGTGCATTAAACTGTAGGGCCCTGCAGTGCAGGATCTCGCCGGCCGCCGCGGAACATCGCCGGAGCTCCCAAGAAGATCGATGACACCGAGCAACACGCACGGCAGACGCAGAGAGTGCATGAAGAGCCCAAGGGAAAGGCGCCAACTCCAACCGCATATCCCTCCTGCATATTCCCCGTACCAATCCTCACGACGGACACCCCCAAACACTAACCAATTCAACCGGGCGCGCATGAATTATTTAATTAGCTATATAATAATCATCTTCATTAATCCGTTAGTTAATCCTGGATTCCTGGTGTGCACTTATAAAAGACGCCCTCCACTCCACCCCGCTGCTTGCAAAGTTGCGTCGAGTGGCCATCTCCCGACTGCCATGCACGCACACGCACCCCACCCCAAGGCCACCGGTGACGACGACGATGGCCAGCAGCAGCAGGGCGGCGAGGCCAGCAGCGAGCAGCCGGTGGTGCTCATCACGGGGTCGGGTACGAGTACTGCCAGGCCTTCGCGGGCCTGGGCTGCCGCGTGGTGGCCACCGACGTCCCCGACCGAGTCCCCGGACTAGCCGCCGACCTCGCGGGCACGCCAGCCGCGGAGGCGCTGCCGCTGGACGTGACCTCGGACGCCAGCGTCTCCGCGGCCGTCGGCACCGTGCTGGCGCGGCACGGCCGCATCGACGTGCTGCTCAACAACGCCGGGGTCGGGTGCACGGGCCCGCTGGCGGAGCTGTCCCCGGCCGCCGTGGCGCGGGCGCTGGACGTCAACTTCCTGGGCCAGCGTGTTGGGCACCGCCACCACGCCCTGGGCCGCGCCCTACTGCGCGTCCAAGGCCGCCGTGCACGCCGCCACCGACGCGCTCCGCCTCGAGCTCCGCCCCTTCGGTGTGCACGTCGTCAAGGTGGTCGCGGGCGCCGTCAGGTCTGGGCTGGGCCGCGCCAACGCCGCGCAGCTCGCCGCCGGCGACCAGGAGTGGCGGATGTACCGGGACTTCGCGGCGGCGATCGAGGAGCGGGGGCGGGCGTCGCAGACGAGGAAGTCCACGGACGCGGGCGTCTTCGCTAGGCACGTGGCGCGACGGGTCATGAGCGCGCGACCGCCCAGGGAGATCGTCTACGGCAACATGACGCTGCTGTTCGCCGCGCTCGCGGCGTCGCCTGGATGGGTGCGGGACGCCTTCTTCGCCTGGCGCTTCGGGCTCAACAAGAACAAGAAGCCACGCTAGCGAGTTCAGTTCATCACAAGCGCGTCTTGTTGTTGCATTGGCCGACCCAGATCTCCACTCCGCCGAATAACCGACGAGTCACCCACCCTGCATCATCTTCTTTTGTCTTTTTATATTTTCTTTTCAAGTAACCATGCATCTTCTTGTTCTTGTACTGGTACTAAGTTACATTCTCATTCAACAAAAGCCTCCTTTGACACGGCTTATCCAAAACGACTTCACCGGTGAAGCCAAAGCCGGTGAAACCAGAAAAAACCGGCTTTTTTCCAGCTTCAGATTCATTTAATTTAACCCTACACAAAATGGCTTCACGCTTCTGATGTCTCGATTTCGTAAAAAATAGATAAAAGCCTAAGCATAAACCGTGCCAAAGAGGCCCTAAATAAATAAATCCATATGAACTAGTAATTCCTAGAAAAAAAATAATAATACTCTATCTATTTCAAATCATAAGTTATTCTAAGAATTTTAGAGAGTCAAATTTCTCTAGCCAGTTGGGAGGATGCTGAAGACCTAAAGCGACAATTTCCTCACGCATCTGCTTGGTGACGAGCAAATTCATTCTCAAGGGGTCTTGAGTGTTACCAACCCGTGCACAAAGCCTAGAGGAGTCTAGTGAACTTGGGGCAGCTCGGAGCAAGAGATGGGCCCAGCCCAACAACCACGTGTGCAGAGGCACGCCGAGGAGGAGGCCCGGGGTTCTGGAGACGTACGTCTGCGCCATGTTCAACTAGAAGAGAACCCAGGCCGGGCCCGGGGAATCAACGGGGAGGAACCTTTGGGCTCTTCTACCCGGACAAGAAGCCTGTCTATCCAATCACCTTCCCAAAGTAATAACATTTCGTTGATCCAGATTTTAGGACACAGCAAGTGGAAAGTCCGCATTACCTCACTCAACTTTTACGAAAGTCTACTTTTTTTCACTGAACTCTAAAACCGAGTAAACCACCTCCCTGACTAGGAAAGCAACGTGATGACCGCTTATAACCAGTCAGGGAAGGTAAAACGAACGGTTTTAAAAATTCAGGGAGGTGGTTTACCTGGTTTTAGAGTTTAGGGCGGAAAAGCAGATTTTTACAAAAGTTGAGGAGGGAACGTGGACTTTTCCCTCTGCTAGCCCATGAAAAGCTAAAAGCCCAATGGACACTTGCAATTGGACCTAAGGCCCAGCTCCGCAAGATTCACGTAGTACCAATTTGGAGTATGTAGCGAATTAACGAGTCATAATCATGACCAGGAATGGTTTATTTGTTTATTTCATTGGATCTGCAGTTCCACAGCATGTCTTCTAGACAGTTAGATATGAGGTAAAAGTTCATTATTTTTGTTTACTGGCTTTGTCATTAATTATGTGAGAAAGTATGCTTTGGCTTTGCTGCATTTTCAAAATTTAGGGCCTCATCATGTGCTTCAGCTTCACACCACGGCCACAAAATTCCTTAGGTACGGCCAAGTGATTATGCAATGATAGTGTTGAGCTGGTGTAATCTAATCAGGACGCTTTGAATGCCTGAGTACATCCAAAAACTGGCTATGCTCACATAGGCATGCAGAAGTGGTCTCATGCTGCAACTGTTGCTCGGTCGGATGGTTCAGCAGCCGTTAGCTTGCTACAAAACAATTCCCTTTCCTCAAAAGAAATCAGTGGCACAACAAAAATGGATCTGCTGTTTTGGACCTGCACTGTTTCTTCATGTGCATGCTCCGGCGCTCCGCTGCTGCTTCGGAATGCTATCCTTTTCTTTTTCTTTTCATGAACACAACACACATGTTCTTGTATATATCAAATTCAAATTACTAAATTATTAAGTCATCTCTCCAGCCGGCGCCTGCCGCCAGAAAAGCAACTAAAAGCCCGGATTTGCGCGGAATGCGCGCTGGCTGCCTGGGTGATGGCGCGATGGCGGCGGCTCCTCAAAACGCCCGCGGTTCCGCTGGTTCGACGCCAATTGGTATCTTTCTCTTCCTCGCGCTGGTGGCGGCGCGGCGGCGTGCGCCTAAGGCCCAGCTCTGCAAGATTCAGGTGGCGTAGTACCAATTTGGAGTATGTGGCGAGGCGAATTAACGAGTCATAATCATGACCAGGAATGGTTTATTTGTTTATTTCATTGGATCTGCAGTTCCACAGCATGTCTTCTAGACAGTTAGATATGGCGTTTGGTAAAAGTTCATTGGGCGCCGTTTTTTGTTTACTGTCTTTGTCATTAATTATGTGTCCAGAAAGTATGCTTTGGCTTTGCTGCATTTTCACCAAATTTAGGTTGCCTCATCATGGTTGCTTCAGTTTCATCGGCAGTCACGGCGCACAAAACGCTGGTTCCTTTAGACACCTGGGTTTCAGCCAAGTGATTATGCAATGATAGAAGTTGAGCTGGCCGTTGAATCTAATCAGGACGCTTTGAATGCCTGAGTACATCTTAGGAAAAACGGTGTTTTGCTGGGAATGCTTGCATGGCATGCAGAAAGATGACTCATGGTAGTGGTTCATCGCGTTGCGTGAACACTAAACACACATGTTCATAAATATATCGTCTTAATTCAAATTACTAAATTATTAAGTCATCTCTGCAGCTGCTCTCCTCATCGCGTCTCGCAGATGATGAAAAGGAGAGCAGAAGGTTGCATCGTTAATTCCAGTCATTTTCTGATAAATTACCTACCTGTGCAACAAGCCAGAACTTACTATGGAAGCTTCATCGCTTATGGTGGCGGATCTACAGGCTATACAACAACCCATCATGATAGATAAGTATAATGTAACAGAATCTCGATGCCCCTTATATAATGTAAAAGAATCCTGACGTGTCACCTGCCTCCGTAGATATGATTCATGATCCCAACTCCCAAGCCATATATGCACCGTTGCACACCCGCGCGGCCGCGCCGCTTCGCCTGCCTTGCTCGCAAGACTTGCGAGTCGCGATCCTGTCCAAGCTACCAAGGCACCAAGCACCGCCAACACCCACCGAGAGCCTTGGACTTGGACACGCCAGCAGCGAAGGTGGCGTCCAGTCAGGTCGATCCCAAGCTTTAGAATACAGAGGTTAATTGTTGTTAATTAGGTCTGGATCGGGATTTGGGTAGGAGACGGTACTGAATTGACTATAGGGCAAGGAGCTGAAACATTTCCGCCGCTGTTATCAATCCGGCAAACATATGCTTGCAAATCTCACAGGTCACGGTTTTGAAATCTTCTTACTTTTCTAAATACTTGTCTGATTAATTATTTATCATTAGTTTATGTATCAGGGAGACCAGCGACATCAATACATCAGGGATTGATTCGATCCCCAAACATCAGAGATATTCATGTCATGTGAGTTTTATAATCATAGCAAATTACATCTAATATCTGCCACTGATCTTTTATATATAATTGGGTGAACAAGTCCAGTCAACGTTCCAAACTCCCTCAAAAATACCACACATGTGACTTGTATTATTATTGTACGATACATGGCTCATCTCATCAGAGACTACAATTCACAATATACAGTAGTAGTCAGTAGGTCATTTTATCACGTCACCGGAACAGCCATGTACGACTAGTTTATATGACTAACAAAATGGAATCAGGAGACATTCCGGTACATCACGGTCATATCATTGAGGCAGGCCTATACCATTCAAATTTATGGCGGCTGAGTTGAATTCGTCCACGACAATGCTGTGTTCTTACACTACATGCATGCTTAATATGATATATATATATATAAACATATAATTGGTGAAGAATTGCAGGTACTACAAGTATTCAATTTGTAAGCGGCAGGTATGGCACTTTTGTAGCTGTCTGTCCATTTGGTGATGTAATCCTTGTCGATGCCACTAGCAGCTAGCGGTCAACGTAGCTGGTTTGGCATTTCTTAAAGTCCTATCACAGTACCTGAGAAGGATTTCCTAACTCCTTGATAGCTACTGTCTTGTGTCTGTTCCTTGATATTCATTAAGCAGAAGGAGAGTTTTACAAATTATTAAAACCGGGATGGTAATTTGTGGTTACCAAATCAAACACCGACAAAGCTTACACAGTTGTGATTACAAAAGAAACTACGTAGCGGCCGAGCAGAGGACCAAGCAAAGGGACAAACAAACACAACAGGCCCTGAACCCGGTGGCTAAAAAGCGTCCTGCTCGAAGCCAGTGAGGTTGAGCTCCATGGCCACCGGATCGAAATCTGGAGCGAAGAGCGCCTGAAGGGCCTCCAGCTTGGAGGGCGACAACGGTTCAGCGAAGAAGGCCTTGATATTGTCCAAGGCCACAGGCTCCGGACCCTACGCCATGTCTGCGATCCCTAGCTTTTGCTTCAGCACATTTTGTGCTTGGACAGTCGGGTTGGAGGACTTGGCCTTAGTAGCAAGCCTCCCACTCCAACGTACCGACAACACCGTTGAAGGTGTCCTGGACCTCCTCGGCATCGACTTGTTGATCAAAGGGGTCTCGAGCGGGTTGCATAACCGCGCCTCCGATTGTGTCAACAGGGACACATCAGCCGATGGAGGTTGAGCATTATGGCCTTCGTCGTCAGTCGAAGACCCGCGGCTGGGCCTCAATAGCTCAAGCTCCACCGCTTCCGAATCCGGCACAGGCGTCCGCGGCCGCTTCCTACCCTGGGGGGAGCAACGCGCGGCCAAGTCAGGCGATCCACAAAGCTACGCCGGAAGGGGCGACCCTCCTGCTGGGACCCCCACACCCGAAGGCTTCTCCATGACGACCAACCCCTCGGAGCGCATGGGATCCCATCGCTCATGGGCTGGCAAAGCCTGCATCTTGGAAGCGATGGGGTTGAAGAAGTCATCGAAGGAAACCTGAGGTAGGGAGGAGTGCACGGCAACCTCGCCTGCAGCAGGAATCTCGGATGGGGCATGGGGCGTCGACGAATCAGTGGGCAACCCAGAGGTGGCCTTGACGGTAACGCTGCCGAAGCAAAGCGAGCCAGTCCACGACCATGCTCTGCCACCCAGCGCACATACACCCATCAACGGCGAGGAGTAGCATGT